CAGCGTGGGAAGTTTAGGTTAGATATTAGAAAGAATTTTCTCACTAGAAGTATAGTAAAACACTGAAACAGGTTACCCAGAGAGGTGGTGGAAGCTCCATCCTTGGGGGTTTTAAAAACCTGGCTAGACAAAGCTTTGGCTGGGATCATCTAGTTGGGGCTGGTCCTACTTTGGGCAAGGGGTTGGACTAGACCTCCTGAGGTCCCTTCCAACCCTGATTTTCTATGATTGTATGGGTTTTTCTCTGTGGCTGTAAGGGACAGGATTAGAAGCAATGGCTTCAAACTGCAGCAAAGGAAATTTAGATTAAAGATCAGGAGATAATTCCTGATGATGAGGGTGCTCCAGCTTCGGAGTAGGCTACCTCAAGAAGTTGTGGAATCTCTATCCTTGGAAGGTTTCAAAAGCAAGTTAGACAAACACTGGGCTGGGATGGTTTTGTCAGGGCTGATGACCTCATGAGGTCCTCTCAGCCCTACTTTCCTAGAATACTATGTGGTTCCTCTCCTCAGGCTCCAGGCAAGAAAGGTTGCACCAACCATGTTTTCACAGACCCCACTATGTTTTATGCTGAAAATCATGGCTTCAAGAGCTTCCCTTGCCCCAAGTATTAGTGAAGCATCCCCAACTTTGAGGGGACCCTCAGGACAACTCTGAGAAAAGGGTTAGTGCCCCGCAAAGTGTTGCAAATCCCACCTGCCTGCCCACCCACAGGACTTGCTATCTGTGCAGGTGAACAAAATTGTCAAGAGAATTGCTCTGTGCTAGGCTGTTTTTGTTTGCATTCCTATGAATATGTTTTTTCACTATTGACTTGCCCAAGGAAATTTTGGGAGCAGTTTCAAGGTATTTTATTGTAAATAACTATATGTCTATAAAGCTCTGATTTGGGGATGTAGCTCAATTTGTACATTCCCAGCCCGCAGCCTCTGAGTGGGAAATGGCTAATGATCAGAAGAGCCAAAACCAGGGAGCCTTTTAACTGTGGAGAGAGCAAACTTAACTTATCAGGTTAAGATGAATGTAGCAATTACTGGAAAGGCTCGACTTTCTTTTTGGCAAAACAAGCTCTTATCAGCATTTCTGAGTTGAAACTAAAAAGAGAAGGTAGCATTTTTCCTGTTTGCTGCGGAAAAGAATAATCAAATCTTTAATTCCTGATATAGTTGAAGATGGCTGGCTTAAGTCAACACGTTTGTTCTTCCTGTGAATAAGTTAATTTTACCACAGGTTTGGAATTATTTTTCTAGCTAGCAGTTTTAAAATTGTTTTATGGGGGTGAAGAGCATGAACAAGTGGGACTAGAAGTGTTCATCAAGCATCTGAAGGATGTGCTGCCAATATTTTAACAAGGCTTTGCCCAGATTTTCCCCCCTCAGCATCTGATTAATGACTTGTTCCAGGGGTGTATGTGCTTACTGAAAGAGCATGAGGGACTCTACTTATTTACTTTCCTATTTGAACAAAAGCATTTTATCATAACCACAAACAAAAAGGGAAGGCACATCACACAGCAAACCAGCATCTGCACTTCCTAGAAATGGTCCTGAAAAATACAGGGTGTATTAATTGTACATGAAAATGCCCAACATCTGAAATCTTAAATGGAAGGCACGTGTGTTTGAGTGCAAAAGCCTTTTAGGGACATCTTTACAGTGAATCAGAGCCCTTACTGAAACTAACCACCATTGAATGGTAACAATTATTTTGGCAGGATCAAATGAGTTCCCTAGGCATTTAGGTAGCTGATTCTTCTCTCACTTATTCTTATTTAAGCATCTCCAGTGCTTCAAATGGATATACTCATGATTTGCTTGTGGAGACAAAGAGGGAAATCAAGCTTGCTATTAAATAGTTCAGGACCTGTCCTGCGTTCCTAGTGCATCTGAAACTCTCTTTGAAGTCAGTGGAAGGTTTGGGTACATAAAGAATACAGGACTCAATATATAAGCATATTCTAATCTAATGTATTCAAGTAACTGTCTGCCATGCACAGAACCCAGACACTGCCCTGTGCTAGGCTGTGATGTCCAGAAGGTCTACGAGTGCCAGGATTATAGCTGCCCCAGGAAATACAATGTAGATTCATTGTCCCAATTGGGAAGAATGCAAAAAATAATCAAGAGGCATCAGTGGTGAACCCCTTAAGCTGTAATAACCTGAGATGACAGTAACAAATGTGAAATCCTTCTAAAAGATGATTTACTATTGCCAATTCACTTCTTTCCAGGAATGGTTTGGATAAGTCCCCCTGCCTTTTGCCCCCACTCCTCTGCAATGCACATATTGTATTTTCAGTTCATCATTCTGATCTTGCTGTAGGGCTGCAGTCATTTAAATATTCTGTTGTAAAATGTGCTAAGGACATGAGCATGGTAGAGGATGAACTTGAAGTCAGTTGCAGTGCCTGGGCCATGGTTGTGGTTGTGCCAATTGTATGTTGCATATTTGTGGTCTCAGGAAAAAGGCACTATCATATGGATTGCTTTATAATTTCCTTGTTGCTGTTTTGTCAGCCCACACTGGCACATAACCTTGTGTGTATATTTCCTGTCTGTTTGTCTTCCCATGTTTAAGCAAGATGCACATCTACTCAATCCCCACATCCCCTTCCATTTCTAGTTTCCCGCAGCTTCAGAATAGCAGCTGACAGCATTCTCAGGCCAAAAGGTTTCCAGAATTGTAAAGCGGATGTGTTCCTGAATCTGTTGCAGCTTGCTGAAGAAAATAATCTTTTAAGGGGAAATATCCATCTGAAAGACTCTTTTCCCTTAATCCCCTGCCTCCAGTACTAGAACAGCCAGGCATGGATAGACACCACGGTCCCCCAGTAAATGAAGCTGCTAATGCCATTAATACTTCTTTCTCTTTCTTGCTACTACAGAACAGCACCCACAACTGACAGTCAGTTAGGGAGTACCAGTAGTGCCCAGTGGCCTCTTTACTTGAGGGGCTTCGGTGAGCTGTGCTTTATTCCACATTCAGTGACCATGCCATGCATAGCAACAGGAGCTTGGCATCACCATGCCCCAACTTTCTGGGAAGTTCAGGCCTTGACGAGATTCTCTAACACCACAACAGTAGCTTTTGTATCTCTTCCTGTTGCTCTGGGGAAATGATAAGCTGTTCTCCCCACTTGCTTTTTCCCAGTTTCTACAAGGGTAGGGGAAATGAAGTGTTTGGGGTGTACCACTTTTTGGCCTGTCTGCACATGTGAAAGAAAGTTGTATAATGAGATGCTTGTTGGGGAAGGGGAATACTAATTTTTTAAACCGGAGAAATAATGGAGCCTCCCTCCCTGTTCCCCTCACATTTCTTTGTTCACTCTCTGAATGCATAGGTACGCAAGTTTATGAGTAACTGGCATTACTAGGTGTTGGCACCATGCAACAGTCTGCACTGTATTGAATTATAGGGACTTTGTCAAACCCAGGGGCTGCCTCAGTAATAAAGCTTTTGGCTTTGGCTTGTTGGGGAAGTTTTCCTGGCAGTTTCCAGGGACAAACCTTAAAGACTAATTGAATGGTGCATTTCTTTAATTACTCTAATGCCCAAAAAGCAGGCTTTTTCCCTGACATCTTGTACTGGGCCAACTATGCAGTTGGCAGAGATGTTTAACAAGCTTTCAGGCACAAGATATCACCAAAATCCCCTTTGCTTCTCCCATATTTCCTGGACCTTCATGGCTATAAGAGCATGCCGCACAGTGCTACTGTCTGAAGTCCAAGGCACACAGCAACTATCCAGAAAGTGTCCTGAGTACAGAAGGCAATAGTAACAACAGATCTTATTTGCTTTCCTGTTATCTCTCCCTCTCCCCATCTTGTTACTCATCTCAGAACTGCTGAATAATGAAACTTCGAAGGCTGCAGAGATTACTGAAGTCTATGTGGTTTGCTGTTTCTGTGAGTCATTTAGAAGCCTTGCTCACCTGCCTGGCAGGTCTTGTACAGCTCTGGCTAGCAAGACCCTCCTTCTCCTGCATGCAGAGGAAAGGCATGACTCTCATTTAGTTGGGGCTAGAGAGAGCTTTATTTTAGGGGTGTTGGGTCTGAAAGGCTCCTATTTAATGAGGGAGAATCTGGAGTTAACAACTGTCCTGTTCCCCACAGGGACCTGCTGTTTCTTACTGACATCAGAGCATTGAATCTGGAGTCTAACAGTATAAGCTTGAAAGATATTAAAGAAGAAAAGCCCTTAGCTTCTGCTCCATTGGGTAATAAGATGTCTTTTATTACTTAGTATTTTGGGTGAAATGAGGACAAGGTGTTTGCTCTTCACTCTGAGGCCTTTCTGCCTCCCTTGCTGAAGAGCTTTGTGTCCTGCTGTGAGGTGCTAGAAAACTGGCAACCGTTTTATATTTTAAGAACACCGACTTAAGTTAATAAGTTATACTAGGGCATTATGGTCTCTTATTTCCCTTTATTCTTCAGTAGCACAACCCAAGAGAGCTTTTACAGCCAGAGAGCCACACTAGCTGTCACCAGGGCCAAATCCCCTGACTAATTTTTGACCCAGTAACTCAATCGGTTTGAAAGCTGCTCTTGTAAAGGACTTGTCCACCATAAACACCTGTGTCAGGACCAGGATCCATCTCAGGGGAAATGCTGCATGTTTTAAAATGGGCTGAAGGGAGGAAAAAGGTCCAGGTTAGAAACCGCCGTGAATTCTGGGTGGAAACAGAAAGCAGAGAGCCAGCTCTGGGGACTCCATTAGTATCAGTTCGAAGGCTAATGGAGTGTGGACAGTACTACGAGAGCAATATGCAAAATGCTGGATCACAAGTTCCAGAAACAGACATAAAATGTACAAGCTTTGTCTCCAGAGGCTATTTGTTACATTTTCTTCTTCCCCCTTCTGGGCTTGCACCCAAAACTGGCAACAAATACCTGACTAGTAAGAACAGTCAGCAGGCCTGGATCTGAAATGCTTGCACTTGGAGCTCACAAGACAGGCACTTCTAGTCACAAAGCTGGCTGGAAAGGAAAGAGGGCACTCACCGTATCGACACCTGTACTGACAAACACCATTTTTTCCTCCTAGTAATTCCAGGAAAGAATCAAAATAGCCGTTAACAGTTTCAAAGCCATCCCGGATGGCCCCGATGCCCCAGTCTGAAGATGATGCCACTGGAGGGGCCTGGTTGACTGAGTTGTCCTGTGCTGTCTCGACGGCAGTACTCCCCACCAGATTCAAGGTCAGGCACAGAATCGACACCTGTACAGATGGTTTCATGCTGCAGTTGGACCAAAGAAATCCAGGCCTCCAAAACTCCCTACTGCATGGATGTGCAGTGAGGTAGAAAAAGGACTGGGTCACTTTGAGTACAGGGCATGTATACGCCCCTTTCTGCTGGACTTTAAACACTGTAGTGGTAACTGAGATGAGGTCACAGCAATTAGAGAGTACAAAGACCAGATGCAGTGGAGATTTGGGACAAGTTCAGTTCACAAAAGAGAGACCAGAGAGAGAGTTGTGTAATACTATGAAACAGTTTAAACACCCTAGCAAAGGAGCATTAACCTGTGTTTGGAAGGTGATAGAGACTGCCCCCCTCCCCTCAGATGGCTCTTCGGCATGGTCTAAAAGTGTGCTCTGCTTGTCTTTGTTAGGGTCATGGTAGCTAATCATGAGTCCAGTGAGAGAGGTCCTCAGTGCATTAGACAGACTACTGCTATGAAAGCCTTTTCAGCTCGTTTCCCCTGCACAGTGAGTGGGGGAGGTGCTGCACACATCCTTCTCGAGACATTCTGCTCAGGCCTGGTTTGGGTCAAGTGTCTGATCAACACAACATCTGTGCCAGGCCAAGGACAGAGACTCTCCTGGGCAGGCAGACTGTGGAATGCGACTTCCCCAGGTCCCAGCCCCCAAGGCCAGATTCTGCAGCCCTGGGACATTTTTCACAGTAAAACCTTGGGGGTGGGCCATGTTCTCATGTTCATAGTGCAAAGGCAAAATTCACCCCCTACACGTAATATGAGCGTGAAGGGCAAACAGTGTGGGACCTGGCTCTTTCCAAAATATGGCCTCAGAGACTAACACAAATTCAGGCATCAACATTAACAGTCTCACTGCTGGCACTGTGGTGGAAACATTCACCTGATGCGTTTAGCTACTTAATAGTTGAAATCCTGGAGGCAAGAAATGCTGTCCTGACTCCATCCAGGGTAAATCCTGTTGCACCAGTCCCCTAACATTTGTGCTCTTCAAGTACCAGTTGGAGTTTTTCAATCTCTTCACCCAGCTGTAAAGGCAGGCAGGTGAAACAGGGTCCCCTTTCCCTGGTCCTGGTTGTGGGTGGGAGGTCTTCACCTTCCTTCTGTATTCCAGCCTGGTGTACCAAGAAGGGTGAAAGAGCAGCAGAGTCATCCCAGTGTTCACAGGAGGAAAATGAGAGTAGGGTCACCAGGGGCTTTCTCCTTCTCCAATGAGAGTGGTCTAAGGAGAGGAGAGGAGCTCTACCTATCTTTTGCAGCAACACTGATTGTCTTTCAAGCCCAGGAGGGAGGGAAGTCATGCAGGCAGCCAATCAGGAGGGGGATCCTCCCCACTGTTGCAGTAATACAAAAGTAATCAGTGACCACCTTAATGTTGAGACATGTAATTTCTAAGGTCATCCACTGCCTACAGGATGGGATCCTGACTTCTTAAGATCTCCAAATATGACTAAACTTTGGGGACTCCATTGACTTAGCACTGAGATAGGGGGAGTGAAGCCTACAGAGGAAAAAATAAGGGCTGCTGGCAATGGGAAGGACTAATAGGCATGCAGGAGATATTAAGGAATTTCAAGTCTGTAACTTCCTTTGAGAGAAGATGAAATTGAGGAGGAGACTGTCAAAGCCAAGGCCAGAGCATCAGGGAAAGGAAAATGGGAAAGCATGGAGATGGTTGCTATTAACAAAGGGGCCATAGCTACAATTACAAATGTGGGAAAATGCATTCCATGATGATAATTTAATATCCTCCTATGACCAGAAAACAGACTTCTTGGGTAAGGAGTATGCAATGGAGATAATTTATCCATCTAGATTCAAGCAAAGCTTTTATTATCACACCTCAAGGGAAGTTATTGGCCAAAATAGAGAGGATGGGGATCAATTTTACAATCATGGGGTGAATAAGGAGCTGTTTCAAAGGGAGATTACAGCAGGTTATGTTGAAAGGTGAGTTACAGGCCAGGCCAGCATTAATGTTTAGAGCTATTCTGCTTAACATTTTTATTAGTGTTCTTGGTACAGAATCTAAACTTGTTTCTTTATAGGGTAATGTAATATAAAATCTCTAACATTGCTATAGTTTGGGTTTGGTCCTGCATAGCCTTTCTGTGCCAACAGTCATCGCTAACTCTAGCATTAGCACCAGTGGGAATACTAGTAAAGACCAAGTGAAGAAAGGGACTGATTTGTATTACCTGCACCTGTCTGTCCACATTTCCAGGATGGTTAGATGCAATGCTAATGGATTGTCAATGACCATTTTTCTTGCCCTTTTGCTGAATTCATCAGAATTTATCAGTAACTGCTGATACAATGAAAGCTCAGTTCAACAGTCACATGCTTTGCCTTGCACTGCATGAATGCAAGTCAGATACCTGTTAGTTGAATCATCTTTCTGCAAAAGAAAGATTGAGAGTGCAACCACATTATTCACAGCCCTTATGGGAGAGTTCTGTAGAATTTAATATGCACTGAACTAAAAGTGTTCTTTAGAAATAACTCTAAAAACCTACAGAACCACTGCATAGTTGTGGTAACTGCTGTAAGATCACACCTGAGGATAACACCTTTCAGTGACTTTAGATGTGGCACTCTTGACACTCGCAACTTGACCCTGCTCCCTTAGCATTATCTGGCCCTCGCATTATTGAATGTAGATGCCATGGATCCTCAGGCAGAAATGCTCTAGAAGATGCTCTGGCTTCCCTGATGGCAGGTGGGGGCGGGGAGGTTGTGTGGCATGTTCTGGAGGAAGTGACCTTTAGGGTTAGGGACAGACATTAAAAAAGCCGGAGCCTGAATTGATTCAATCTTTGCAGGTTAGTCTAACCTGCTTAGATTGAATCAGTTTTCAGTGCACAGACATTCCCTCTAGACTGAGGGAATGTAGACACATGCCCACAGTGGTTCAGGCTAAAAGCCTGGGGATGCTACAGCAGCCCTCCCTTCCCTTCTACAATGGGCCACTCCCTGCCTGGCGCTGCACAATAGGTACACTCCCCTCACTACATAGGAGGAGTCTCTGACAGACACAGGAGGAAGATGTAAGTATTCCCACTCCTAGGAGGAGACACTGGGTGGTGGTAGTGGGGGAATCTGTCCTGAGGGGTACGGAGGGACCCATCTGCCGTCTGGACCCCTTAGCCTGAGAGGTCTGCTGCCTCCCTGGGGCCCACATCTGAGACATTGCAGAGAGGATTCCCAGGCCTCTCTCCAACTATGATGCCATGCTCCTCATCCATGTGGGCACGAATGACACAGCCAGGGGTAACTCTGACCATGTCATGAGTGACTACAGGGCTCAGGGGGCTGGGCTCAAGTAGTTTTCTCTTCTGTGCTCCCTGTTGCAGGCCACAGACCTAGGAGGGAAGGCTGCGTGGAAGAACCATGGAAGACACCTCAGATGGTGGGGCTACTGCAAGGGGTTCGGTTACCTCGACCACAGCACACACTTCAGAGAGAGGGGACTTCTAGGATGAGATGGCATTCACCTCATGTGGAGAGGTAAGGCCCAGTTCTCAGCCAGGATGGCTTATCTACTGGACAGGGATTTAAATTGACTTTGCTGGGGGACGGGGAAACTCCAAGTGGAGCATGCCTGGAGACTGGCACACAGGAAAGCTCCCTTGTGGAGGACACTAGCAGAACTGTCTCTGGAAATGCTAACCAAATAGTTCTCCCACAGCATCTCAGGAAAATGAGGGTGTCAGTCAAGGGCCTCAGCTGCCTGTACACCAATGCCAGGAGCATGGGGAACAAGCAGGAGAAGCTAACTCTCCTGGTGTCTCGTTGGGCAATATGACCTGGTAGGGATCACAGAGACTTGGTGGGACTCCTCGCATGACTGGAGCATAGCCGTAGAGGGCTACACCCTGCACAGAAGAGACTGAGCAGGGAGAAAAGGTGGAGGGGTAACTCTCTATGTGAGAGAGCAATACACCTTTCTGGAGGCTGACATTAGCTCCAAAGATAAGCAGCTTGAAACCCTCTGGGTCAAGCTATTGGAGGGGGAGGCAGGTAAGAGAGACCTAACTTTGGGCATTTACTACAGGCCACTGAACCAAGGAGAGGAGCTGGATCTGGAGTTCTCTCGAACTAACAGAGGCCGCACATGCAAGGGACTTGGTTGTAATGGGTGACTTCAACTGCCTGCACAGACTGGGAGGAACACTTGGCTAGGTCAGATTGTTCACTCAGTTTCCTGACTGTGATTGAGGCGCTCTTCCTGATCCTGGAAGTGCAAGGGCCAACCAGAGGTAACGCTCTCCTAGACTTGGTCTTGACCAAGGGAGGTGATCTGGTGTGTGGCTTGAACACTGAGGGTAATCTGGGTGACAGTGACCATGAAATTATCAGGTTCACTATGCACCGCAAAGTTGGCAAATCAACCAGCAGGATTGAAGTCCTGGACTTCAAAAATGCTGACTTCGACAGGCTCAAAGCATTAGTAGGGAAGGCAATACAGGACCAGGAAGGGAAGGCAAACGGGGTGCATGAAGAGTGATCATTGCTCAAGGACACAATCCTCGTAGCACAAAATAACAGCACTCCTGCAGAGAGAAAATGTAGAAGGAGAGCTGGTAAGTCCTCTTAAAAAAGAAAAAAGGTAAGCTAGGGATGGTCCTCAAGGAGGGTTATATTTTAGTGGCCAGCACTTGTAGGGAAGGCCAAGGCAGCGACTGAGTTTAGGTTAGCCATGGGAGTCAAGGACAATAAGGAGTCCTTCTTTAGGTATGTAGCCAGTAGAAGGAAAACAAATGGAAGTGTGGGACCCCTGCTTAACACCTTGGGACAGCTGGTAACTGATGTTCAGGAAAATAATGAACTCCTGAATGCCCACTTTGTATTTCACTGGACCATGGGGAAAGCCAAGCGAGATAAGGTTTAAAGGGGGCATGCCAGGACTCACAGCTGGATGCTGAGTGGGTGAAATACCAACTAGAAAAGCTAGACATTTCTAAGTCAGCGGGACTGGATGGACTCCATCCAGGAGTGCTGAATGAGCTGGCTGAGGTCATTGTGGAACCCCTGGCGAAGCTCTTTCAGAATTCATGGTGCACAGGGGAGATCCCTGAAGATTGGAAGAGGGCCAACATTGTGCCCAC